GCATTTTTTGACTTAAGCTTAAGATGCTTCATGATCCCGGGGCCTGGTCTCCAAAATCCACATACGCGGCCTCGGTCAGGTTAAGTCACCTCGTGGGCCAGGTCTCGGGTCCTTATTTTACCAAGTTGACCTCACAATGGGTAATTAATTGTATAATAACGTTGCTTTTCTTGCTTCTATGCTACGTTTTTGGATTTGTAAAAAAATTCAAAGTTTATAGTTATCAGAAACATATCATGCCATTTTCGGAACAAAACCTTTGAATGATGAAAAACACCCCAAAATATAATAATAAATTTGTGCTCCTCAATGAATAAATATTCATTGGGATTCTGGAAGCCAAGAATAAATCCATACCAGATGCATTGATAGTGGTGCTACTATTAAGATATGCAATCAAATATATGTTGGAAAGGATTAAAGTACATAAAAAAAATTCCCCCTACTTGCATTAGAAAGAATGAAAAAATATCAGTAGCCAAATACGTAAGATTTTATTGTATAAAAAAGTAGGGGGTCAAAATTCTATAGGGGTCATTTTTCAACGTGTGTGGAGTCGTAGAATTACTGGTCTGGAATGTTTTTCTACAGTCGAAAAATGACCCTACTTGTCGTAGAATATTGACTCGGGGTCATTTTCCTACGTAATAAAATGACCTCAATATTCTACGGGGGTCACTTTTCGTCGAACACCGGAATGTCAACTGGTGTAGTAAATAGCCACAGAGGTCTCACGGCACAGAGGTGGGGCATAAGTCGTCTCATAGTTGTCAACAACGGTTTAAGGTTCGTGATGTTATTAATTTCCTAACCAATGAGAATTATTCGCCAATACGTAGCACCGAGAATGTCACACCCACTGAAAGTCAAAAGTAAGGGTAAAATGGTCCTAATTGGCTATTTACTACACCAGTTGACATTCGGCCGAATTTCTATCCTATGTATATTTCAACAGTGAAGGGAAGCTGTGTAAATTTCGGAAGCTAACTAGAGGTAAAGTCGAGAAAGCCACGCCTTACTGAAAGTCCAAACTAAGCGTGTAATTCTGATTGAAAAGAGATGGGGTATTTTTTCCTCAGTCACTGCTCTCTACACAATAGGTTAAAATTGTACAAGTCTTGTTTAAAAGCACTACGCACTACGTTATTCCAAGGACCTATATACTCTAGTATATACGTGTAGGTCCCTGGTTATAAATTATTTTTCAAGTGTAGCCGTGGTTACTAAAAATTCAATTCAATTCAATTCACTTTATTGACAATTACCATGTCGGCATACAGTCATGAACATGAATAACATAACATAAATTAACACAATTAATACAAGCATATACAAAGTGAGAAATATGAGGTGAACAAAATTGTGTATTTCTCAATATTAATATTCATTTTTGACTTTCTTTTCTGATGTCAAAGCACTTTTTCAAGAAACAAGAAAAATAGAAATTTCTGTGAAATACTTTCAAAATGCTACTCCTCCTACAGTTTTGGTCTAATTTCAATATAACTTGGCACACAAGTAGAGTACACTAAGACTACGCTAAGATACATAATTCTGTGCATCGGTTTTTGATTTTGATGAACGGTGTAGCCGTGGTTGCTAAAAATAGAAATTTCTGTGAAAAACATTCAAAATGCCACTCCTCCTATTGATTTAGTCTGAATTCAATATAAATTGGCACACAGGTAGACTACACTAAGATATTTAATTTTGTGTATTGTTTTTTTTTTTTATTTTGATGAACGGTGTTGCCGTTGTTACTATTACTAAAAATAGAAATTTCCGTGAAAAACATTCAACATGCTACTTCTCCTACAGTTTTGGTCTGATTTCAATATAACTTGTCACACAAGTAGACTACACTAAGATACATAATTCTGTATATTGGTTTTTAATTTCGATGAACGGTGTTGTCGTGGTCACTCAAAATATTTTTTTGTGAAATTGTTTCAAACTGCTACTCCTTCTACAGCATTGGTCTGATTTCAAAATAACTAGGCACACAAGTAGACTTTACCCTGCGAGGTGAAATTCATAATTTCAGGAACTTTTATGAATCGTTAATGAACATTCATGATGTGTTCATGAATGGTTCATGACTGGTTCATAATTAAAGATGGTTCATGAACTTTATTCATGAATATATTCATAAAATGTAGTTCATGAACAAATGATGAATATATATGAATATTGGTAATTTTCATTTTAAAGACAGAAAAAATGTAGAGTTTAAGGTATTATTAATGTTCATGAATTTTCATGAAGACTAAAATAATTGTCAAAAATGATTGACAGAAAACACTCATTACTCTCATAATACAACTTTTGCATGCAGATGCAATTGTTGAACAAGCCCCTGGTATAATGTATATTTAATAACATTCTTTCACCAACTATCTGAAAAAATAAATCATAAAATCCGATATTTTGGAAAGTATATATGATATCATATTCCATGAAATTTTCAGGTCTGATTTGAAATGAATAAAGCTTCCATCATGTATAATTTTGTTGCTTTACGTCGATTTACAGCAATTTTATCAAAGTTGTGACATTACTTTTGGATCAACCCTCGTACTTCGTAACTGGTGAGTGACAAAAAATGGAGGCAATCACTGCGTCAGAAATCTGTCTGTAAATGTTCCTGTCTATTTGTAAAATAAATTAATATGTCTTTATTTAATGAAAGTTTTGTCTAACTTTGCTTTGAGTTGGGATCCAACCATATACCATACATTAATTATAGGCTCCTGAGACTCAAAACATTCAATGATTCATAGGCCTGATTGATCGACAAAATGGCGGTCCAAAAAAATAGGCTTAAATTCCACTCAGAATGTTTTAATTTGGAAGTGCCTCTGATGCAAAATTAAATGAAACTAAAATGCAAGAAAATACGTACAAAAAAGTCTTAAGGTTTACAATCATGGGTATTTTCAGAAAATCTTTCTTCTTAAAGGAAAAAGAGAAGCAGTTCACAAATATTGATGAGCAGAAGACAAGAAACTCTGGCTGCAAAAAAAAATCTGAGCTCTTGAAAAAGAAAGAAAAGAAAAAAAAAATGAAAATATGAATGATATTCAATCAAAGGATCCAAATGATGAAATTCTGGAAATTCCACATGGAGAGACAATAAGGATTTTTGAATTGACCATCTCTGCTCGAACTGCTTGAACGCACTTAAAACTGTTACCCTGGTGCTGAACAAAGTTTTAACTTTTCTCCTAGACTGGAATTAAAAACTGTTCAATTTCTGGCATTAACCTCTCCTCTTGACCAAGTAAGGTTAAACATTCTGCAAAGAGTTGCGTTTGAATTGAAATTTTTCATACCTTTACCAGGAATGAACTACATTATTCATTTATTATGGTTTAATATGTCAGAATTGTTTGGGAGTCCAGATGATAACTATAAATTAATTAACATACACTTTATATAATTCTCTGAGCATAAAACACACATGTACATATTATCTAGATCATAAAATAACCCATACTAGCCTTACTGCTAATAGCTACTAGTAAGTAAAAATCTGACTTCCAAAATCTCTCTTATTAATCTCTCTTACTCAGTGCAAAAGTGCTATGGAAATTATTAATATTGCAAAAATTACAGATTTCACATTTAATAAAATATATATTAAAGATATGTTAAAGTTAGTAAATAAATATTAGCTTACCAGAAGATGAAGAGAGTCTAAGTCAATAGTCAATTCTGTTAGTTAAATTCTGTCTCAACAAAATGGAAGCTCTTTATCAAAAATCTGGACAAAAAATGACCAGAAAGACCAAGAACACTTTGGAGGGAATTTGACAAACCAATAAAACACAAGAACACAAAACTAAAACCCAATAGAAACAAATGACTTACAGAACTTATGGCCAGGACCTTAATTATAACCCTAAAGGCAAATAACAGGGTAGCACTGTATGTTACACCTAAATGGCCATACACTTAATCAGAGACATATAAAACCGTTTTATATGTCTCTGACTTAATATCTAATAAGCTGAAATAAAAATATATACAAATAGAATACAAAATAATTTGATATTTATTACTTAATTAGAAATTAATTAATAAATCATCACTCTTACAAGGCCGTAACTAGGCTCAAATTTTTAGTGAGGCAAGGGTGCTGGGCATTCCTAGTCCCAGAAGGGGCAAGGATAGTACCTGATGGCCAGTGATGGGAGTTTCCAGGGAGAGGGGGATCCTGAAACCTGGATTTTAGAAAATAGAATATTTATTAATCAAAGTTTTACGGTTTGATTTGTCGACCGCATGGCACAGTGGTTAGAGCGTATGCTCAAGAGTCGCAGACTAAGGAGTTGATCTTGACATCGCGGGTTAGATGTAGAGACCGATCCTTCGGATGAGACCGTAAAAACCGAGGTCCTATATCACAGTAGTAACGGCACAAAAATGATCTCTTACTGTTCAATCGTCTTCAGTGACCCTGGCTGATAACTCTGTACAGCTAGATTCAAAACTTGCAGCCTTCCACCGGCAAGTAGTGGAGCCTCAATAAGAACGAGTAATTCTTAGAAGGGATGTTAAACAATCAAACAATTTGCAAAACAAACATTTTGAATTAAATTTTATATGCGTTCTAAATGAAAATGAGGCACCTGGTGAGATAAACGATTTACACAAATTGAAAGAAAAGTTGAAAATATTACATAATTTATAACGAAGACACATAATTCCTAAGTTCAATGTAAAACTTTTTCATTTTAGAAAACTCTAAAAATTTAGTGAGGCATCTGCCTCACTTGCCTCAATGGTAGTTACGGCCTTGTCTTACAGTGAAACCACCAATCTCCCATGCAGAGTTGTCGTTCGTTGAATGTATGAGCCGATGGTAGAGAGTGTGAAACCACACAGGGCGACGAACAGGGAAAAGGTGCGAAACCACTCGGTGCGAACAGGTGACTTAGGCGAATCCACTTGCATGTGGAAAATCCATATGAAACCGAAAGTTCAGTTGTGTAAAAAAGAAGTGTGTTAATGTGATTTTAAATGATTTTATTTACATACTGGGATAAATACTCAAACCATTCAAACATTTCTGCTTTTGAAAATTTATTTATCGTGATTTATACATGACTCATTATCCTAAGCTCTTAGCCTAGGCCCAGCCTATGCCTGTCAGCCCTGTGTATATTGTTCAAGTGAAATGGCGTCATCTCTGCTTCTGGTGCTATTTTTTCTCTGCTATGCCGATGCAGCTCAAAATTTTCAGGAAGTATCTGTTTGTCCACGGAATGCAGACACATGGAAAATAGAATCGGACAAGAAAAACTGTCAGGGAGACACGCCCGACTATCTGTGTGCTGCGATAGAAAACAATGTTGGCAAATTCGGGGAAATATGCACGAAATATGGGCTGTCCCCAGAAAGTAAGTATTTAGGTCACTATGTCATAAGGAGACAGTGATTTAACTTATTTAGGCCTATTTATTTTTAAATATATTGATATGTACATGATTGTATCTCAGTATTAAGCCTTTAATTCTTCATGTTTAACAATCCTATCATCATCATGTCTACAATGCTATGTACACGATCATTACATTGGGGATTTCGTCCGCACATGCCCAATGGAGACAAAAATAATTTATGACAGTTTGCAAAAAGTGTTTTAATTAATGCAGTATTTTAAATGATACTTGTAAATTGAGGACTTAAAAGTTATTAAAAAATAATGTTTGACCTTGTTGATGGTTGCAGTATTTAATTACAGTTATTTACACTCCATCAAATAGAAATTTTTGTGTCTGATTTGTTATTTTATTACTTAATGATCGACTCAACAAGATTTGTCTGGACTTAAAAAAATTTGGACTTTAGATATCTCTCCTGAATCTCCGACCAGTGTCACACAAAGTGATTCAGGGAATCAAACCCAAACTTCAATGTTCAAAATAGGTTGCAGCTACATGTATATGGCTTCAAAGTTAACTTTTTTTTTATTTTGGCCTGAGATATCAAGATCATAAAAGTTGCCTATTTGCCCCCCCCCCCTACTTTCGCAAAAGCGAGGGGACATTAAATCTCATTCTTCTGTCCGTCCATCAGTCTGTCCGTCTGTCACAAAAACTTTAACCTTGCCCATAACTTTTGATTTGGTGGAGCTATGACTTTCATATTTGTATTCCTTGTGGCAAGACCTTTCTTTGGGTACCACCAAAGAACAAGGTTCACTTTTGCCTTTTTTGGCCCTGTGAATTTCTGAAAAACCGAAACTGCTTAGTTTTAGTTAACAATGCATAGAATATCTCTTAGATTTTGGGTGATTAAGGGCGAAACGATTACACGTGTAAACGGCGACGTTTCGATTATATGCTCTAAACGTTTACAGGTTGAGTAAACGTTTACACGAAGGTCATTATCAATGTCTATCAGAAATAAAGTTTAACACAAACAAATTGTTTTATTTCATAATTTACAAAAGAAACACCTTTGAGTATTGATAAGCAACAACCTAAACCTAAATGAATATATCTAAAACCCGATACGGGCTAACATAATTAATTCCGATTTCCGAGTTGCTAATACTAGCGATGTTTTACGACACTTGAAATATAAAACTTGATATATTTTGATTAAATAAATATAATACATGTTTCACAAGTCTTTGAAAAGTTTCAATACAGTCAGCAGGTCTTGTTTTACTTTTTTCGAGATTAAAAGATCCATCTTTACAATTATTTTTTCTACGTCCGGTAGCCAAACAAACCAAGCAGTTGGGTGACGAGGTCGAAAGTGAATGAGTTTAATGCGCCTCAAATTCTTACGGTTAAATAACAATGACCAAAAATAAATTTGTAATAACAACTCATACTTATATCAAAGTGAAAGAATTGATTATTAAATTCGAGTTTCATGAGTAAGTAGCCATAAAAATAAAACATAAAATATCCCCCGTTTCGTTTACTGCTATCCGTTTAAACGTTTACAAAATTCAGTAAACGTTTCACCCTTATGGGTGATTGCGTATCTATCAAAAATGACGTAATTTTCTGGCTAGTCAATGCATTATAACGTCATGAAATGCATCAATTTCCTCATATTCTGAAAAAGTCCACAAAAACGGCCAATCTTTAAAGCTATTTTTCGATATTTAATATAGAGCACAACCTCTGATCTAAAATATGCAACTAGTAAATGATAGAACTGTTTCTGAGGATTAAAAGACATGTTATATTTTTTAGAACAGAGGGTGCGCTCATATTATTTTTCTTTATTGAAAGTACTCAAATATACCTATTCACCATAAAATTCAAGAACATTGCAATTTCAAGAAGCCAGTTCACCAAGACCTGGACTTTTAGGAGAAAATTTTTAATAGGAAATGAAAGCACCTTAAGTCTCTATTTTATTTTAATGTTTCAAATGGAACATCAAGTGGTAGTCATTCAATTGATATATCTACATGGCCATTTTTTGCATAACATGAACCGAGCTCTTTGAACTTTTGACCTTGACCTTGGAGTAAAACCCGCTTTAACACAAAAATTTTTAACTTTTACTTTGGCCATAACTTTTGAACGGTAGATACTAGGACTTTCATATTTCACATATGCATTCTTTGTGGCAAGACCTTTCATTGGATACCAACAACTTTGACCTTTTGACCTTGACCTTGGAGATTTCCATATTTATGAAAACTTTTGAACGGTAAGGGCTAGGGCTTTCACAATTCACATATGTAATTCTTGTGAAAATACTTCTTATTGGATACCACGAAATTTGACCTGGAGTTTGAACTACTTTAAAAAACAAACCTTGACCATAACTTTTGAAGGGTTAGAGCTAGGGCTTTGAATTCATATTTCACATATTTAATCCCTGTGACAAGACCTTTCATAGGATATCAAGAACTTTGACCCTCTGACCTTGACCTTGGAGTTTGACCTACTTTTTAAAAACTTTAACCTCGGCCATAACTTTTGAATGGTTGTGGCTAGGGCTTTCATACTTCACATATGTAATATTTGTGACAAGACCTTTCTTAAGAAACCAACAACTTTGACCATTTGACCTTGGAGTTTGACCTACCTTTCAAAAACTTATCCTTGGCCATATCTTTAAACCTTGACCTTCACGATTGACATTATCTTTTAAAAATTCAACTTCGGTAATAATTTCTAAATGACATATGATAGGGCGTTCATATTTGACACAATATTTCATAATTATGTAACAGTCATTTCTAGGTGTACAGGCAGTTTGGCTGGCAACACAATTCAGCCCAATGCACTTTGTGCAGATATCAATTTGCAGTCAGAAGATTAATATCAGCTATGAAATTTATTAATGTATGCATATCCCATGTTTTATTCTGCTGTAGATAAATAATCGAGCAAAGTTCATGCGAGGTGAGGCGGATGACGAGAAAAGAGTTGCAATTTTATAGCCTTCTCGAGATTTATTTATCAGTTGAAATTGATAATATATTAAAAAACAGCTTATAAAGACAAACAGGTTACATCATCGATACCAAGTAGTACATATTAGACCACCAAAAATAGGAAAAAGGTGTGTCAACCCCAGATTTAAAAAGAAAAAAAAATGAAAAAATGAGGGGGTTGGGTGCAGCCCCCAAGTGCATGTGCACAAAAGCTGTAGATTGAGGTACATGCATAAACTCTGAAAGAAATATTTGATTAAGAAAAGAAGAGTTATTTTTTTTTTATTCGGAACACTGACAGATATATAACTTCTTTCAATTTTACAGGAAAGTGTGCTGTGTTGAACAACCAAACCCATAATCTGGACTCTGTAGACTGTAAAGCACCAACAGGATGTCCACTAACCCCCTACAATCCCTCAGAGTTGTGGAAGTGTAAGTAATACATTGTTCCCTCCCAATGAAGTTGGAGGGGATATAGTAATGTGCTTGTGAATGAGTGAGTGTGTGTGTGCATAGCCAATGTAAGAAATAATATACATCAGATCAATATGTGCTCTTTAATTTGCTCCACTATGAAGTGCCTTTTTAAACTTTTTATCTTAAATTTGATTTGTAGACGTACACATGTTAAAGTAGGTACATAAATGTCGAATTTGAACAGCTGTACAATCACTTTTCGCTAGACATGTTTAAGTGTTATCATCATGTTTTAAATTAGTTATAATCGACTAGTTTAGTTGATTACATTTATAAAGTAAGGTCTGTAAGGAGGATACTCAGGATAGGAACTTGAATATTTCCTTTTAAGTATAACACAGTCATGATAGTGAAAGGTAATGTGTAACTGTTAGGTTTTGATTAAAAAAAAAAAATAGATGTCATAGCAAACATAACCATGATGATTCAACTGTTATGACTCGATCTTTTCTGAAACCATAAAAAAGAGTTAATTTTAGCTATTGCTCCTAGCTAGTTTGAGGTCTTGGTCAGGATTTAATATTGACTTTCTGCTTTTATTAGCTCTTCTGAGCCAAAGGCTCAAAGAGCTAATGCTATGGCCATTTGTGCGGTGTGCGGTGTGCGTAAACTTTTTAGAATATGGGCCATAACTCAAGAACCCCTTGGCCAATCAGTACCAAATTTGTTACAGGGTATCCTTGGCCCAAGGGCTACCATTTATACTAAAATAAGGGTTGGGACCCTTAAACAAGGGGAGATAATCAGGAAAACAAAACCAAAAGTACTGGTTGCTAAAAACTGTTCTCCATAACCACCAGGCAGATTTTCACCAAACTTACATACAAGGATCAGGATATGTCAAAGATTAAAATTTGCATGGGGAATTACCCTGGGGCAAAGGGCATGGTCTCAAGGTCACTTCAAAGTTGACCTAAATTTACAATTAATAAAAACGTGTATATTTTTAGCTCACCTGAGCCGAAGGCTCAAGTGAGCTTTTCTGATCAAAATTTGTCCGTTGTCTGTCGTCGTTGTAGTCGTTGTCGTTGTCGTTGTTGTCGTTGTCGTAAAAACTTTTCACATTTTCATCTTCTTAATGGCCGACCCAAGTTTTACATAGGAATATGTAGGAAAAATCTTTAAAAATCTTCTTCTCCAGAACCACTGGGCCAGGAAAGATGAAACTCATGTGGAATCATTCCTCAGGTAGTGCAGATTCAAGTTTGTTCAAATCATGACCCCCGGGGCAAGGGTGGGACCAAAATGGCCGACCCAAGTTTTACACAGGAATATATAGGAAAAATCTTTAAAAATCTTCTTCTCAAGAACCACTGGGCCAGGAAAGATGAAACTCATGTGGAATCATCCTCAGGTAGTGCAGATTCAAGTTTGTTAAAATCATGACCCCCGGGGCTAGGGTGGGGCCAAAATGGCCGACCCATTTTTCACATAGGGATATATAGGGAAACCTTTTAAAATCTTCTTCTCCAGAACCACTGGGCCAGGAAAGATGAAACTCATGTGGAATCATCCTCATGTAATGCAGATTCAAGTTTGTTCAATTCATGACCCCCGGGGCAAGGGTGGGGCCAAAATGGCTGACCCAAGTTTTACATAGGAATATATACGAAAAATCTTTAAAAATTTTCTTCTCAAGAACCACTGGGCCAGGAAAGATGAAACTCATGTGGAATCATCCTCAGATAGTGCAGATTCAATTTTGTTCAAATCATGACCCCCGGGGCTAGGGTGGGGCCAAAATGGCAGACCCATGTTTTACATAGGGATAAAAAGGGAAACCTTTTAAAATCTTCTTTTCAAGTACTTCAAAGCTATGATTAGTGATATTTATATGGAATCATCCTCAGGTAGTATAGATTCTAGTTTGTTCAAATAATGAATGCTTGGAGGGGGGGGGAGTAAATTCTAGCCCGATGTGCTCAGGTGAGCGCTGTGGCCCCTGGGCCTCTTGTACTTACTATGAGGACTAGGATCATCAATTCTTGTAAATTGATGCATCTTACGACTTCACATCATGTTAACTCAAAAGTAGGTCACGGTGACCTACTTTTTAGGTCACCTGAGTCACTCAGGTGACCTATTGCTATCTGTTTTTGTCCGTCGTCGTCCGTCGTACGTCGTTCGTCGTTCGTCGTCAATCGGTCGTAAACTTTTGAACATTTTCAGCTTCTTCTCTGCAACCACTGAACCAATTTCAACCAAATTTGGCACAAAGCATCTATGGGTGAAGGGGAACAAAAATTGTGAATTTCATGATCCCTGCCCCCCTGGGGCCTGGGGGTGGGGCAAAAACCACTAAAATTAATGCAATCTTCAAAAATCTTCTTCTTAACTCCTGGACATCAAGCAGTCAAACTGTTTGCATGATTGTAATCAGCATTGAGTCCTTTACCAAAATTGTGAAATTCATGGCCCTGGGGTCAGGGGTTCTTGTACTAGGGCGGGGCTAAATAAGTATATAGTGAAAATGCATTATTTCTTTGAAAATCTTCTTCTCTGCTCCTGGGTATTAAATAAACTAACTAAGTACATAGTTATGATGAGCAAGAGTGCCTCTACCAAAATTGTGAATTTTATGGCCCCAGGGTCAGGGGTTCTGGTGTCAGGGCGGGGCTCTATTGATTATATAGAGGAAATACATGAATTCTTTGAAAATCTTCTTCTTTACTCCTGGGTATTAAATAAACTAACTAAGTATATAGTTATGATGAGCAAGAGTGCCTCTACCAAAATTGTGAATTTTATGGCCCCAGGGTCAGGGGTTCTGGTGTTAGGGCGGGGCTCTATTGATTATGTAGTGAAAATACATGAATTCTTTGAAAATCTTCTTCTCTGCTCCTAGATTTTATATAATTTAACTAAGTACATAGTTATGATGAGCAAGAGTGCCTCTACCAAAATTGTGAATTTTATGGCCCCAGGGTCAGGGGTTCTGGTGTTAGGGCGGGGCTCTATTGATTATATAGTGAAAATACATGAATTCTTTGAAAATCTTCTTCTCTGCCCCTAGGTTTTATATAAACTAACTAAGTACATAGTTATGATGAGCAAGAGTGCCACTACCAAAATTGTGAATTTTATGGCCCCAGGGTCAGGGGTTCTGGTGTCAGGGTGGGGCTCTATTGATTATATAGAGGAAATACATGAATTCTTTGAAAATCTTCTTCTTTACTCCTGGGTATTAAATAAACTAACTAAGTACATAGTTATGATATGAACAAGAGTGCCTCTGCCAAAATTGTGAATTTTATGGCCCCAGGGTCAGGGATTCTGGTGTTAGGGCGGGGCTGTATTGATTATACATGTATAGTGAAAAAACATAAAATCTTTGAATATTTTCATCTTTGCTCCTAGGTTTTAAGCAGATGAATTACCTATATAGTTATGAGCAATCCCTAATCTTCAAGAATTGTAAATTTCAAGGCCCCAGGGTCAGTTGTACCATAGTGGGGGTGGGGGGGGGGGGGGCTGTACTTATGTACTGAAAATGAATGAATTGTTTGAAATGTGCTACTTGGTATTAATCAAATATTTTTGAAAAGCAAGTATGCCTTCCCAAAAATAGTGCAATGTGTGGATCTAGGCCTAAGAGTCAAGGGTTCATGTGTGGTAGCGGCACTACTGATTATTGCTGAATATTACTGATTAGTTGAAATGCATATTTTGTTCCCCTACCCTGCCTATGGGTATAAAGTAACCAAACTAAGGAACTGCTAAGTGTATAGTTATGATGACCAGATTGTAAATGCTATAGCATCTGGCTTAAAACATGGATTAAATTCAGTCACTGGAAAGTTGTTGAATAATGCTCAGGTGACCTATAAGGCCCAGGGGCCTCTTGTTAAATTTTGTGGGGATTTGTTTTCAAATTGATTTGAAGGCATATTTTGGACACTTTAAGGCCTATGATTATCAAACTTTGTCAGTTGATGCATCTTGGGTCCTCAAACAATGTCAACTTAAAAGTAGGTCACCGTGACCTACTTTTTGAACTTTATGACTTATCCTTTTAAAAACATTAAATCCCATTATTTCAGACACTGGGAGGTTTAGAATCATCAAATCTTGTACTTTGATGCATCTTGGGACCTTAAAACATATTTATGAAAAAGTAGGTCACTGTGACCTACTTTTTGAATTTTGCCGATATTTGTTTTCAAATTGTTGAAAACCCATATTTTGATTACCTTCAGACCTACGATCATCAAACTTGGTCAGTAGATGCATCTTTGGATTCTTAAAAATGTCTACCAAACTGTAGGTCACGGTGACCTACTTTTGACATTTTATGGCTATATTTAAGTATCTTAGGTATTTATTGGCTTAGAATCATCAAACTTTGTGAGTCCATGCACTTTGGTTTTCGGAGAGTGACGATCTAAAAGTAGGTCATGGTGACCTACTTTGACATTTTATGGCTTAATTTAAGTATCTCTGGTACTTATTGGCTTAGAATCATCAAACTTTGTGAGTTGATGCATCTTGGGTTTTCCGAGAGTGACGACCAAAAAGTAGGTTATGGTGACCTACTTTTGACATTTTGTGACTATAATTAAGTATCTCTGGTACTTATTGACCTAAAATCATCAAACTTTGTCAGTTGATGCGTCTTGGGTTTTCAGGGAACGTCGACCAAAAAAGTAGGTCACAGTGACCTACCTTTGACATTATATGGCTATATTTAAGTATCTCAGGCACTTATTGGCTAAGAATCATCAAACTTTGTCAGTTGAGGCATCTTGGGTTTTCGGAGTGTGTCGACCAAATAATAGGTCACAGTGACCTACTTTTGAATATCTCAGGCTATATTTAATTATATCTGGTACTAAATATTGGCTCGGAATTATCAAACTTTGTCAGTTGAGGCATCTTAGGGTTTCATTGAATGTCCAACAAGAAGTAGGTGACGGTGACCTAATTTTGAATATCTCAGGTACTTATTGGGTTAGAAT